ATAAAGGCTGCACCATCAACCTTTCTTCCTCTACCTTTTGATTTGATTTTGACACACTAGAGCCCACCTATAATATGGAAGATCTGAATCAGGGATTGTACTATTTATGAGTGACTTTCGCTTTTCAGTCTTCAGAATTCCAGGTTTAACAGCAAACAACAAAAGAGAGAAAACAAGATCACGAGTACAAAAGCATTAAATGGTTGGACCAGATAAGAAAAGTTTTTAAAAATAACTTTGTAGTCAATGTATGTTGAGACACCTTTGATCCTATGACCTTGCAGATGTCTGCAAATATAACACTTGACATAATTTTCTTGTTAAGACAGGCTCTTCTCTTCAGAGTCTATAATGCTCTACTTTTACTCCTTTTAGGGCTATCTTTAGAGACTGATCACACATTTGAAAAACTTTTCAGATGAATGTTCGGGTGCTACTGGATGTTGATAGCCCAGGGTGCTAGTGGAGGCAACACTCGTGTCTTACTGTGCACGATGTGCAGCAGACACCCCAGCGAGGTGAGGCCAATCCCAGCAGCCTCTTTCCTTAGCAAAGTCACTCCAGAAAACTGTCATTACTCCAGTTAAACATATTACTAGCTCCTAGCGTGCTGACATATCCCCTAAATCTACCTGTTGCTTTGTCACAAGGTAAAGCTTAGACATAAGACTACGGTTTGTGCTTCATCCTTTCTGCTCGCCCTTGCAGAACGCAGACTTTCAAGGGATGGGCAATTAAAAGGAGAGGCCAGTGTTTACCTGTGAACAAAATATATCTCATCCTTAGCCATAAGTGCAGAACAAGAGAGTATTACATTTCCCATTCTTGTAAAGATACCATCTATACAGCTATTTTTCAAGTTATAATCTGCATTAAAAGTGAATTATCAGAGCTTTTGTTTTTAAATCAGAATTGGAAGGCTGGATGATTGTTCAGTGAAAAACTATGATATTTTAATCCAAATTGAAGGTGTCTCTGTAAAATAAATTTACTTTTGGTGCAAATCCACTCTAAGCAACTACAAGTCTAAATTGGTACAACTCATATAGCAAAGTTTCCCTGCGTGTGAAGTGCACCCCCAGTTTTGATGCACTTATGTTACTTATACCCACTTATATGAAAACTTAATTGCTACTAGACAAACTTTAAAAGAAAATTATAGCTCCAACAGATTTGACAGAACACTAAAACATTACTGAAAAGTGACTTTCACAGAGATTTTTGAAAGCCTTGCATCAGACTTGCATTAGCAGTGGAATCAAGAGCGCCGACGGATACAAAGCAAATGATGGTATATGGGTCTACAGAATGGAAAATGTGATAACGCAAAGCGCTTAAGAGTATCTCCCATGCCTAAATATACTAGGAAGCCATTCTTCCTTGTTGATTTTGAGGAAAAACGTCCTTCAGAATTTCATCTGCACTGCAAAAGTTGCTGATCAGTCATCCAAAGCACTGATTGCGCCGACTGGCAGCTTCATGGTCCTGAACAAGTTCCATCTGTTCTACGGGAGACCCATGGCAATCTGCACCCCCAGCCTTCTACCTGCTCATCTGGCCTCGGATTATTACCTACAATTTCCCTCAGACAATCTAGTAAATTCTGTATCCTGTACATGCAATCTATGCTCAGATCCATCACCACAGCATTAAAAGCAGAAGATTCAGAGAAAAGGACAGCAAGTACTCAGAGGAAAACTATCTTGGATTTCATTTGCAGCCTGATATCCAGATTCTGAGGCTCTGTGTCCTTCTTTCTTTTTCCATGACAAAAAGTTGTGCAAAAGCTTAAAAAAAAAGTTATTCCTTTTATCCATTAATCTGCAATATTAATTTCTCAATAAAGAAAATATGAGCCTCTTTCTAAAGAAAAAAATGGATATGGAAATTAAGTGTTGAACCACTAAAAGGCTAAATAAAAGCAATACAAAGTGGGTAGGAAAAACCTGCTGTTTTTTTTTTTTCTGGAAAAATTAGTAAACTACAGAGAAAATCTGAAAACAAATTCATGGGCAAAAGTCTTTTTTTTTTTTTTTTTTTTTTTTTTGGCCGCAAGACAATCTTATCACATGGAAGGGAAAGCCATGTGCTTTAGGATTTCACTTAACTGACCAAAAAAAAGTGAAGATTCAGTGGATTCAGTGGTGGTTTATGATATGGGAGGGCCATGCTCAGTTCACTTCTCTACCAAATAGCCTGAGACATCCTGGATTAAAAACAAACCAAAGACAAACCACAAAAGTTTTCATTTCAAGGAGAGCTGCAAAGCACTGTAACGTTTTGAGACAGTGATGACAGTCGTAGTCAATATTTGAGAGATATCTCAAATATGTTGCACTGAAGAGACAAGGGAATTTGAAGCCATTATATTTTCAACAAAGTTTCTGTAAGCTTACCAGGTCCCAAAATTCATCCCGAAGTGTAGATGTAGAAATTACATTCACACTATTCAATCACAGCCAATTGGGAGCTTTCACCAAAAAGACTCCAGATTTTTTTCCGGACTCTTTTTTCCTGGACTCTTTCTGCCTCTACAAAGCACAAGCAGAACACATGTGGACATGTTTGCTAGACATTAATCAAACACATGTTGGTCCATGAAGACTTTTTAAATGGTGGGAATTGCACTGTGCAGTGTCATTGAGGACACATAAAAGACTTAAATCAGTCACAGAAACAAGCCAAACTTCCAGCAGTTCTGGAGAAAAAGCAGGCCATCATGCTCATTAAAAGCAAGGGACAGCCATCAGGACTCTCTGATTCAAAGCCTTGTTTTTAAAACACGTTTCAGTGCAATCTGAACTATCATCATAGTGTGCTACAAAATGTGAAAACGGGAGGCAATCCCTATTATATCCTATGGTCTCCCTCTTGTTCCTTATTGCCTGTAGTAGGTCACTCATCTAGGAGAATATGAGCAAGACAATATTGAAAGGGAGAGAAATTGCAGAGGCTGCAGAACCTTAGCACTACCAAGTCATGACACCTCATCCATTAGCAGGGCTCAGAAATGGTTCACGTTTACACTACAAGTTGAACAGAGGCTCAGACCTCCTCCTAAATCTTCTGGTAACACAAGCCTCCCTGTCAGAAATGAGGGCTACGCTGGCAGCTCTGACAGTTGCTTGCCAAGTGCTGAATGCTGGGTCTCCTTTCAGCTGGCCCTACTGAAAACGAAAGGGAAGATGTTGAGATCATGTGGTCAAACAGGCATCAAGTAACATTCCTTAGAGGACAAAGTTCCTCGAGACACAGGAGAGCTCCTCTACAATTTGCAGCCATGCCATATCCCAGTATTCACTGAAGGCTGGAAAAATTGTCACAGTTCCTACAGGGGAAAAGCTCTCCGAAAAGCAGAAGCAGATATGTTGGGTGTCAGCAGGTCAGCAAGAACTCCAGACCAGGTGGACTGGGCTGCAGAATACTATAAAAAGCCAAAGAACTGCCAGAGCAAGACCTACTTATTGCTTACTTAGGCAAGCAGGACATCTCGACTCCCATCTGTAGCCAACTAACCACTCGAGTCACAGCAGTGCCTCCACACACTCTGCTGTGCACCAGGGCAGCAGGGCAAGGCTTACAGTTCACGGTACTGACCAGGTGTCTTCAGCCACAAGCAGCATTTGGTCCTTCCTCTTAAGTGCTGGGTCTTCCATCTTTGGCAGAGGAGTGGCAACACTGTCAGTCTTCAGCAGCTTCCTGAGAAAGCAAACAAACACACAATGGCATTTCTTTCCTGGTCTTGGTGGTCATGTTATTTGCTGTCAGAACATACAAAGTGCAAAGCTGCTGTTTAAAGTCTATGAAATATCCATGCACAATTCCATTCCAGTAACAGACACCATAAAGGAGGCAGAATCAACTTTCAAAAAACTAATTTTAATCAAAACAAAAAAATTGTTGATCATTAACAAGTTTATAAAACAGTGATTTAGTTACATAAATAAATTGATATCAGTGTATCAAATCTTAATTACTTTCAACTTCATGAGCATGTTTACATGGGTGATGAAGTACAACCTTTTTATCTATTATAATAAATAAAATGGAGAGCATGAAATAGTTTTTTCTAAACAAAAATACCTACAAACATACCTCTAGCATGTTCTCTAATGAAGGGAACAAGAGACACTGGACAACTTTTGCACCAAAACATAAAAACTGCTTTAAAAAGCACAAGGATACAGAACCATCAGCTAAAGTAAAGACACTATACTGTAACCAAAGTTGGTATTTAATAATATAATGAACAGTTTGGTAGTTAGATCTCCAGTTTGGTTATTTTAAAGCATTAAGACAAGGCAAGATAGAAGGCTGCTTTTGTTTGAGTAATTCTAGAGAAAATAAAATATATTAAAAAAACAAACTGAAAAGTAGAACAGTCATACCTACACAACTTTCTGTCCTGCACAAAGTCAAAATACCTATGCAGAATATATATATATAATATATATATATGTTATTTGTGCACAAAGGTTAGCTTATTATTAGCTCACTGCAAAGGCGTAATGTATCATGTCAATCATTTTGGAAAACAATTTGCGTTTTGTGTCAAAAAGGATATTTCTTTAAGTTTTCTAGGCTAGGAGGCACAAACCCCGATTCTGGCATACTGTATTCTTAATGCTAAGGCTTGCTGCTCTGGCTGTGTATTTTTTTTTTTGTTGTCCCTCTTTACTATAGTGCCTGTTACAAGCATGTGTGTATGTGTGTATACATATATATGTATACACAGGTTGTATAAATATATATATATAAAATTTCCCCCAATAGGTATCAGTCCAACCATGCAATCCAAAAGGTGGCTCTGCATAGATGCCCAGCATATAGTTCACCACCTGAGCCAACCCTGAAGCAAGGCGCACTTTAGTCCTTCTGATAGGTTTTCTTTTTTGTTTAAAACCAAGCTACTGCAGCTTCAAGTATTTTGCATTACATAGATTTTTTTATAAATTAGTTAATGTTATATTTTTCAATATTCAGACATATACTATAATATATATACAGTACAATAAATGCTCTCATTCTTTTTTTAATTTTTTTTGATAAATCCCTGAGAATGTATGTTGACAGTCGCTAAGTTTCCACATGCACAAGCATTGTGTGCCATGCTTCTGGATGAACAGCACTGCAAAGCCACGTGGTCAGCCTTTTAACTATTAGTATTTCATTTGTTGGTTTGTTTAAATATGCTGAAATGTAAGGATGAGTTACAAAGGAGTAAAGCTGAATCCATTCGAGGTACTTATCACAGGATGGAGGTGTTTTGTTTGGTTTTTTAAAGCCATTGCAATATATGTTTTGTTTTTTTGAGGCTGTGAACGTATACAGAAAGAACAGGAGAGCAATGTGGGCTTTTGCCACTTGACAACATATACTCAGTGTAAACCAAACCTTTTTTAACCTCTCTCTCATACAAAACAGAAAAAAAAACAAAAACAAAAGGAAAAAAAAATTAAACACACAAACTTTCACAACATGACAGTTTAGTTTGCAAACTCAATATAACTATACACATATAATACCGGTGTGGCTCTGTTTTTTAAGTTAAAAAGGATACAAAGGCAGGCTCAAGTAAAAACAAACCACCCCTCCCGCCCCCCACCCGCCCCCCCCATTCACACATTTTCGTCAACCAAACCGCTCGCGAACCAACATCATCAGTTTCTTTTTGCCTTTGTAGATTTGTTTTAGGTTGTCAATGAACTGTGTAAACTGGATGTGTCCATCGTGAGCCATTAAGAAGGTCTCTCGGGCCTTGCTGAGGAACTCTATGAACTCGCTATAGTGCCGCGGGCTGATGTGAGTGAGGCGCGAATGCGTCGTGTTAATGTAGGCCCCGATCGTGGCGTCCAAGAGTTGCCTCAAAGGCGCTTTGTCCAGTGACATGAGCTTACCAGAGTTCCTCCTTCCGTGAAGCCCCACCATGCCCGGCGTGGTCAGAGTGCACCGGCGCAGGATGTCCGACAGTACTGTTGCACACTTGACACTCTTGACCACCAGAGGTATAATAGCTGCTAGCTCATTCTTCCCGAGGGAGTGGCTGAGCGCGCAGGCCCAGAGAACGTCGTTAATGGCAGGGTGCGTGTCCTGATTGTAGCTCAGGTTGAGATGCGTCATGGCCAAGGTGGCCAGCTTGTAGGCCCGCATGGGGTAACCGCGGTGCTCCATGTATCGTGCGATAGTGAAAAGCTGCGAGTAGCTCATGCCCGTCGTAGCAGCATCGAGAACGATTTGGTAGGCGGTCTCAAAAGCTATGTGATCCTTTTCACATAAGGTCAGTGCGGAGAGAGCACAGTTTTGAGGATCCTTCATGGCACACTGTAGAGCAAGCGTCCTTGCACTGCCGGCCAGCTTCTCCTGCTGATGGCAGTCCAGATGCAGGCGGACAATGGTGCTGTTGGACATCACTGTTGTAGCAACAATACTAGTGGCTTCTGTTGGAGTGAAAAGTGTAAACCAGCTTTGCATGATGCTGTCCAGTGCATAAACACCTGCGAGAGAGAGAGAAAGCATTAGCCACAACCGATAAGACCGACCAGATAGAGGTGTTCAGCAAGAGAGCAGAACAAAGGCTAAGAGGTTGGCGGTGCCACGAAGGGGGAGCCACCTCGGCAGGAAAGGCTAAAGCAGATAACGTGGCTGGAAAGGGATATGAAAATACAGGCCACTGTGCAACCTCTACAGCAACTGTGAAGACACTGAGAACAGTAACAACAACAGAAAGGTCTGTAAGAATCTGCTTTAGTCTTCTGGTTTGATAACCAAGTTGTTCTACTTGTTATTTAAGGTAATTTTGATAATGAGTTCTGACCCATTTGGGCGGAGTTACAGAGCTCAAAAAATTGACATCTCATCGCATTACTCAAAAGCAGCCCTCACATTTGACATTTTAAAAAAGACATTTTTTTCCATGTGCATCTCAAAGTACAGTGCACACACACAAAAGAGCATTAAAGCACTCTAAATGACTCAATAAAACATTATCCCATTTAATAATAAGCACATCTTAAAAAAAATGGGGGTACAAAAAGCTTTAACCCTCCTGCCTCTCCACACACGCACTGCCCGAGCAGAGGTTTTCACACAGGTCTTGCACTAAACCGATATGCACCTGAACACCAAGCTCCTTATTATGGAAATGTGCTAAGCAATATACACTACTCGCTTGTATTTGAAATGCGGATTTTTCCTTGGCATCACCTTATTGTTGGTGAGTGTGTGCACGGCAGGGGGAGGAAGGGGGAAAGGCTGACGGATGGCTTCCATAAATTGCCATTATAGGCAACTAGAGTGCCTTGTTATTGCTCGAGGCAGTTTACCCACATCTGTGAGCCCGCCTAAACCACACCCAAAGGTCCTCATTTTCTCTGTAGGACTCTTGATGCTTCCCGTGCACCCCTTCAGTCATGTTCAAAAATCCAGCGTGGCCAGAGAACACCAGGTCTTCATTTAAATAAACAGATTTCTTGCTTTACCAACTTGATTAAGTCTCAAGAGTACTTTGCATGACATTATAGGTTCTTTATGGGCTACTTCTATTAGAATATGTAAACTAATTTGAAGCGGTATTAAAACCTGCATTTTATTTGCCAATATGCAACTGCAAAAAATAATACCCAGGCACTAATATCTGTAAGATAGCCTCAGTAATAATTATCTTAGAAAAGATATAAAAGCAATAAAACAAGAACATTGCTTGAAAATTTGCAGACAAACCACTTTCCGGCTGAGGGCATTCAAAGGCAAGCTGTATTTTCCCAAGCTACTGACAACATTAATTTCCCAGTTAAGCACAAAGCAAAGGATAAAATGATCCAGAGAATAAGCACCAGCAATTTTCTGAAGTTCTGAAACTCAAGAACCATCACTGAGACTCAATCCAACTCAAAAGATATGAAAGAGAAAAGAATAAATGCAGAGAACGGCATTTTTTCCAGAAATACCTCTAGTGACAATTAAACTTGCTCCCTTATCATAGTACTTTTATTGCCCCCACTACTACAGCTGCTGAATGGTTAGTTACACAGTTTTTAATGCCCTTCACTTTCAGATACTCCATCCTCATCTTGCAAGGTAGATACTGGAGTACACAAGCCAAAGGTCTCCTCCCAGGACACGCAGGACATCTGTTCATGTCTATACTTTGCCAGAGGATGCCCTGCTAAACACACTATCCTCCCACTTCTGTCCTCTAAGAAGGAGGTTGGAGTCCGCTCCCACCTTATTCTTCTTCCCTGGTGGCTTAACGATGGGTACATTAGGATTTGGTCTGCATTTCAGCTGCTGAGGAGTAGCCTACACAATGTCACAGCCACATTGCAAAGATGAACTACATTCTAAGCCTGGATTTACCCCGTGACTTAAAAAACAACGAGAGTGCCTCCTACAAGATCCTGTCTCCAGCACCAGTGCTGGCAACTCAGGCATTCTCATCAGCCACGTTCTGGTTCCTCCTACTCCCAGCGGCACAGAGCTGACACAACTGCTGTTGCACCTCTACCTGAACGTGGGCAAAGGTGCAGAACATGCCTTTACTCTGCTGCAGCATCAAACCCAGACCCCACAGGGAGTGCAGAGGGAAAGTTTACTGGGATACCCCACATCACAAGAGTCATGTGAAAGAACAACACTCCCCCCAGCTTACTGAGGTCATGCTCACCCCCTACCTTGTGGGGGAAAAATAAGCAACACTGTGTTGCTCAACTAAGTCTCACCTGACCTGTGCTTATTTTATTACATGCTCAAGAAAATCTTATGTCATTATCATAATTAATGTCTTCTAATCAAAGGAATTTTACAACACTTTTACAACAGCAAGCATATGATACTCGCAAGTCTGGGCATTGACAAAACTCTTTAAGATTAGCTGATGAAAGGACGGGGTTCCCGAGCACTATCCCAGAACATACCTACTTCTGTTGCACATGTTACCAACCACCTCACCATTTCTCGCCGCCGCCAGTTCAGCGTTGACAGCGTCATGCGCATCACCTATTTAAAACAACACAAAATACAAATCAATCCAGTAATTGCAAAACCCAGGCAATATACAAACAATAAAGGTTTCAAGTTATTCTGATACAGTGAGACTCCAATGGCAGTCTCTTGCTGTCTCCATTCTGTCACCTCAGTTTAGCTGACATGTCAAAAGGCTTGAAGAACATGGCTCAGTTATCTCAGAGGAGCACACAGAGACTAATTTCAACTGCAAATCTTTCAAGGCCAGAGGAGAGACTGTTTTCTCAAGAAACAAAACAAAACACAGAACAAAGCCACCAACCCAACCCAACAGCCAACTATTCAAATTAAATTATATTGTGACTCCTCCCTCCATGAATGGCAGTCTCTAAAGTGGAAATGTGTCCATTCATGTTGAGCAAACCAGCTCGTTCACTTTTTCCCCACATCTGTACATCTTTTCACTGACTTCAACAATACTGACAGCAGCTACTGTGCACTGCAATTTGACTGGCTGTTTATTCTGCAGAGATATGCGTACACACTTCTAGACAGACCCAGATATTACTGAAAAGCCCACAGCAATAGCTTCCCTCATTTTAAAACAACTCTATGCAAAGAAGTCCTATCTTAAGACCATAAGAATGCTAGAACAGGATTCTTTTGTTTTTAAGCTTTGATTGTAATGTCCATTTTATATCACAGTTACTACTCATTACTTAGTTTATATCACTGTTATTTCTCAAAATGCGAGCAAACAACAAGCACGTGGTTTCAGTATCTGAAACTGCATGGAAAGCTTGGTTCAGCTAACTGGAAAGATGCCACAGACACCTCAATGAAGGAAGCAAGCAGTTTTCCCCTCACAGTATTAGTGACCGTGCTACACATGACTGTTTAGTCATTACTACAGGTCAGTCACAGAGCTCTCTCTATGTCAAACTCATGAAATTCATTCATAAAACACCTTGGGTTTACCAGCACTTGTATGAAGGTTCTTACCCCCAAGCCCTTTCCAATTTTAAGGTGACTTCAAAGTGACCCTCTTTGTCATACTGTTGCCTCATTTAGTCATATGCTGTAGATAGGGTAATTGAGAAGACTGAACAACTGCTGTGGAGTTTGAGTGCACAGAGGGTCTTTCAGAAGTCGTATTGTGGGCAAACATCAGGGACTGCACACTGGGGAGCTTGGTAAGTGGCTGTTCTCCACTCAAAATATCAGGGCAAGAAATCCATTGGTCTTGTGGGCTTCAGTGATGATGGTATCATTCCTACTAAACAGTAATTGAAGTACCAGATCAGGAAGAGAAATTCCAAAGAAAGCCACTGGTTTCTAAGGAGCAACCCGACACCTTTTAAATTATGGAAATATGTCTGAGGCAGAATATAGAATCAGTTTTTTTCTTGAAGCCCTTCTGGAAGAAAAGCAGAAATCCTCCAGTTAAAATGCTTTGGAGCACAACTGACTCACTCTGTCCTTTGATGGAGACTTGAGGAGTCTAGGCATGCAAACCAAAGGCTAAAACTCTCATAGGATCTAAGATCAATTTTTTAGCTCCACCTGAGAGGGAATAAATGCAAGAGAATGTACAAAAAGGTTAGAGACTGATAAAGATGGAATTCTGCTACTGATGGTGGAAGGAAACAGAAAAAAAAATTGTGTGAATAACGACTTCTCTGCAAGTGATGATTTTCCTCCCTGTGGTGGCTGTAAAACAATGATCTGTCACAAAAGCCTTCAGCAAACATAGTGGCTATAATGGCTGTACTAGCTTAAGAGCAAAGCACCAGCAAACCTGGTTTCAAGAAATTTCATGACTCAAACTGTTCTAGAATAAAGTCTTTTGCACAGTATTATATATTCTTTGAGTTCATTAAACTGTGAAAAACTGAGCATACTAAAAAAGAGGCCTTTCTTGATGATTAAAAAAAAAAGAGCTCTAATGATTTAATATAAAGCATGTATTGACATCTGGACCAAGAAGGAACCAAGTGAATTTACAGCTTAACCATGCAGGCAAAGAACTGACCTATCCAAGATCCATGCCGTCAAGTGAAGAGAACTTCTGAATAGGTCAGTAAGTCTGAAAATGCAGAGACGGACACAGCCCTGTGAATTATGCAGCTTATGTGAAAGCCAAGCTCTCCCCCACAGAGAATAATCTGTTGTGCTGGATTTTTTAAAATATTTTCTTGTTTAGAAGAACAGGAGATCTCACAATGCAAGAAATACAGCAACAGACAACTAACCAATGCAAAATCATGCACATTAGGATGAGAATTTTTTTAATATGCTCTCAGGAAAAGTACACTATTTGCCAAATGCATATTAATTGATCACCTTCACTAATGTGCTCAGCAGTTCTGTACAACTCCACATGTGTACAGAGATGTAACACAGATGTAGCACACCCCAGGAGGAGGAATGGAAGCCCTGCCTGTGCCTGATGATGGTACAACTTCCATGACTGCAAGGTACTACAGGCAGAATACACCTGAGATGCTCTATGCCTCCTTGCCACGCTGATGATCTCTTTCTGCAGCCAACTTAAATGTCTTCCCTTGGCTCATTCACTTAAACTATGCTAATAGCCCTCAGGCACCAGGAAGAGGGAGAAAGGACACAGGAGTCCATACCCTACTCCCAAATCTGAAATCATGGAAGGGCTTTTTCTGTCACAGAAATCGCAGTGACTGCGCTGTGAAAATGATGGCATTTATCTCCTCTGCCCAAGTGGGCAAACTTGGCAGTGTCACAGGTCAGAGGCAATGCAGAGCACCTGCAAGGCCACTGCTGCTCCCTTTACGTTGGGAGGCATTAAACAGAGCTTCCTGGGGCACAAAAATGTCACAGGTGGTCAGATACTAGACCATGAATAAAGACAATCTAACTGCCATTAAATTTGTTGGGGGAAGCATCCAGGGGCCATTAAGGATGGTGCCTTTGTGGGAAGAATGTAACTGCAGAGAAGTACACAACAATACAGAGTATACAGAAGTACACAACAATAAGGAATTTCCTATCAGCAAAGTGTTACACACCTTTACAAATTACCTTAGTAAGCTTGGGGAAAACAGTGGACAAGTGCTACCAGTTCATTCCAACGACTAGAGTTTGGGAGAAGGAAAGGGCTTACGGCGTTTCTTTCGTTGGAGCTCACTGAGGACGTTCTCATGAGCCCATCATGAGTGTGTATCAATACAGGGATGTTCAAAATGTGCTGATAGCATTGAATGACATTTGGTGAATACTCGAGATGACACACAGGTTAAATATACGGAGCTTTCTCAAGAAAGCAAACATTTAAGGCAGAAATGTACTGAGACGCGAAAAAAAAGATGCAGATTTCCACGGCAACTTTGGGAATGAGAAAGGCTAGCAAAGCACAGAGAATCTCAGCTTTCTGATTTGAAGTTTTTAGGTTCTAAAAGTCTAAAATAGGCAAATAGTACCTTTCTCTTTGGCATGAGAAGGAACTGGGATAACATCCTTTCCCCAGAAGTCTTTGGAGCTTTGTTTACTGAAGTAAAGTAATAAATGGTTTTCTGATCTTTGCATGTTTTTTTTGAAGAACTCCCTGAGGAGGGATGAAGAGATTTATTTTTGTTGAAAAGAACTGTGTAAACTCCAAGATTCATCAGTGTAAGGCAATATTACTGAAGGTATCTAAAACTTAGCTATCTCCTATTGGCTTGTAACTAAGAGGCTTAAAACTCATCTCAAGTTCTTGCACCCTTCAAGCAGTCTGATGTGGATGACCATCCCAGAGCCTGTAGAGCTTATGATTTGATTCTCCTCTGATGAGGGAAGAAGGGGGCTACTGCTAACACAGTCTCTCCTTTAGAAACAGGACGTTATGCCTAATCTTGACTTTCTTTAGTAATTCAGCAAGCACCTTCCAAATTTTGTCTGGGGAGTTGGGGGGGAAGGCAAAGCCAGGAAGTTAAGGGGGGAAAAAAGAAAGGAAAGCTAGGAAACCCCCTCCCAGACCTGAAAATGATCAGGTGCAATTCTGCTTATTCTCTTTTCCGGCACGCACAGTACTTTTGCCCCCTAGCTGTCCTGAAAAGGCTCCTGAGGGCGTTTGTGGTGTTCCTGTGTCACCACCAAAGGGGCAGACGCCCCGGAGCCGCCGCTGCCAGGCCAGCCTCACCCGGCAGGGCCAAGGCGCCCTCGCTCTGTGCTCACCAGCCAGCTGCCCTGAGCACCAGCAAACAGAACCCAAACGCTCCAGACACAGCCCAAGCACGTATGGTCCTCAGGGATTTCAGAAGAGCTGACCCACCAAGGCAGGGTCGAACTCCTGTCTTCTGCTATAGCAATACCGAGCAAGGGAAATACCTGAAGGCCCAGCTCCAGAGAAACTTTCAGAAGAGTGATGTCCGGCAAGCTGTCCATGAGTGTTGCTATTTTAAATGCATCCTGCGCGAGTTTGAAGATGTGTGATGAGGAGTGGATATTTTTCTGGATGGATTCTAACACTGTTTCCAGCCTCCGAACATCACCTGCAAGGTGTAAACACATTCACCAAAATGCAACAACCTTCCAAAACATCCAGAGCTGCATTAAAACCGAGCCTGTCAGTGCTACAGCAATAATATGGTGTTTCAGTTACATACATTTTGTTTTTATGAACCCTCTGTAATTAAATCATATATGAACAAAAGACACAAGACAGCACAAATTGCACTAAAGCCTGGTGGTGCTAGTTCAGTACATGCCAGAAAGTCATCTTGGTTTCTGAATTCTGGAAGTGATTTGTCCACTCCTGGGTCTCAGAGTCTACACGGTGTCAGAAGAACAAAGAGCTGTCTCATCAGCCTCAGATCAAGCCCATCTGGCTTCCACCCAGCTACGTTAACTCCTTTGCTAGGAAATGAAGTGACAGGCTTAAGTCAGTTCAGTCTGTTGTTGCTATTTCACACTACTGTCAGCCTATAACTCGGATTCCTCACCACAGGTTTTAAAATCTGTTTACTCTATGTAATATTAAAAACATGCATTTAGTTGAGTACGTAGCTGACAGCACCGTACCTTTGGCTGCTGTTAGCATGGTTGATGCCAGCTCACACTGCTGGGATTCAATGTGACTTAGGGTGAACCAGCGGGGATACCGGTTTGGAACGACTGACGCAATGTGGTGTGGGCGGGACATGTCTCCCGACGGAGCCGTAGATTCCAATACTAGCAAACTGAAAGAAAAGGCAGAAACTCTCTTCAATCATCACTGCATCTGGTTACCCATGAGCAAAACTAAAGTCACAAAAATACTCTTAAAAAAAACACAAACATGCCTTTTTTTTTTTTTTTTTAAGGTACAAAAAGGGATATTGCACAATTACTACTTTTGGGGAGGAAGCTTCAAAGTCCATTATCCAAACTTGACTATAGAAGTGGGCAGCTATAGGAACTGACTGGACAATTAAGCTATTCATTAGCCAAGGCAGCAAAGACTTTCTCATAATCCATAGTGCTATTGCCTTTTTGTTGCTGTTGTTTCAGTGCTGAATCACAACCCTGCCAGGGAAGTGGAGATGTTCTCATTCATACTGAGAACACGTAAACATTTTCCAGTATTATTCCATATGCAAGTGTAACTTTCTTCACTTTAAAATTATGCAGCAGAAGAAAATGAGCAGGATTATTCAACAAGCTGTTTGGATTTTGATTTTGCAATATATTCAGACACAAATAGTACATTTTATTCTACAACTATGAACTACATTCAAAGCCCTTAAATTCCTGCCTTCCAAATATATAATGTAATGTAATTCAAGGTTAAGGTCTCAAACAACATTGACAGAGGAACTTTTATTTAAAGTTACTTTTCAGATTCTCATCCTGAAACATTGATTTCTCTGTATATGCTCCAGTGTAACACAGTCTTATGTATAGAACAGAATTCCTATGTAGAAAACTCAAAATCACTACATGTGTTTTTGACAACTACAACAGAACTGATGGTCCATAGCAGAAACTCATCTAATGGCCTCACTTCCACCCAAAGGCAATGCATTAAATAAGATAAATGCTAACACAAAAAGTAAAAGTGGGTGAAGGAAAATTGTTTTATTCAAAACAATAAAGCTTAGGTTCAGGATATGAAAGGTTAACAAGATGTCAGATGATGATAACAGACAATGTCCTGAAGCAAAACCTTTCTAATGGTTGGTTCCTTGATTAGCATTAATGTCTTAGCTTCCCGAGCAGTCACAAGGGTCTGACAAGTTACAGCAAAGGGAAAGAGTGTTATCTGCTGGTGTGCTCCTACACTGAACAATCTCTAATGATTCACTCCTGTAACTTGCTGACTGTTCCCTGTCAGAGAGTCCTCTTGCTTGCTACCAGATAACAACAGAAGCCTGGAAGTGTTGTGTGCTTGTGTGTGTGCTGACTGCCAGTGCAACATCCTCCGTAACGGGGGGAAATTCTCCCAGCTGCTGCACCACGACTGGTACCCCCAGCTGGAACACACATCCTACTTCATCAGACACCAGGGAGATGCTGTAGAAGGTCACACGCAGCAGTAACATGATCCTATCTCAAGATATATCCACAATACCGCTCATGTGGACACAACCCAGGCTAGATCTAAAGTAACTAGCTCAAAGCTAGTGCAAGTGAATGACTGATGTGTTTGAATTCTCAGAAGTTTTCTGAAGACCATTCTGATCCTCTCAGCTGAGACTGCTGTAACATGACCAGGAGCAGAGCTAGCTTGCTTCTACAGGAGCTGCAGGTAAAGGTGCATCTTCACAACAGATATACTGTAAGTTTGTCTCAGTCTATGTATACTCAATATAACTCCCTCACACTCATCCCACCAAATGCTCTCACATGCCTGTACTCTATCTCAAAAGTCCACGTGGGCAAACTCGATGCAGTCGCATTGCCTGATGGATGCACCAGCTCTGAACATACAAAAATCTAATTGTGATCCAAGCTTCTATTTCTACCATTTTTCATCTCCAAGTGACTTTTTACCAGAAGTCATCTAGGAGGACAAAGGAAGCCGGATCTATTTGTCAACAATATCAAAAATACTGAATAATATTAAAAATCAAATTCATTGTGATGCTTTGTGATAATATTTTCCTTATGAAACAGGCTAATTTCAATATATATTACTATTTTTTTCACTTAAATAAATACCTAAGATCTTTAAGGAACTGGAATGGCATGAGGTTTTTTTCACAGCAAGAATGGAGACCTTTAAGACAGTTTTAAAATGCAGAAGAAAGTCCATCAGTTTTGCATAGGTTCCTGAGGCATACAAGCATACCCTTAAGAATCTGCAGAGAAATGTCATCTTGAACATAAGCTCAGGAATCTAGCAGGCATACATAAATATAACACATCTTGTAAATAACCATCAGCAAGTTGTACTAACATTTTCTGAAACATATGAAGCATGGTAATAGGATAAAAACTCAACTAACTTCACTTTCGATTTGTATTAGAAGTCAAATCAGTTCCTTAGTACCACAAAGAAACGTCTTTAGCTTTGCATAGGTAAAAATAAAATACATGCAAATTCTTTAGTTGATATGTTCCAAGCACAGAGAGAAAGGGGGAAAAAAAGTATTATTAAATGGTTTCAATAAACAGAGCAAAAGGGATTATTAGGTTATGAGTAACACTAAATACACAAAGAGCATGAAAGGAAGAGGCTGTTTTGGGGAAATCTTTTGTCAGTTTGAATTCCACTGCCAGCTTCTATGTTCCTTTGCTGTGAAAAGAAATGCTGCTGTGAATTGGTGTCTTTCATGCAATTTTGGCAAGATTAGGGAGCATCAGAACAAGCACAGGCTGCAGGGAATGTAACATTCTTCACTTTCTTTTTCTTTCAAACATCAATTATTCAGCTAGGAGTTAGCAAAGCTACCTCATGATTAAACATTGTCATTAAAGCCTGGCTCGTAAAGCCCAGATGAAATTCAGGTTTCACACGGCATCAGTCAATCTAAGTATATTCAAGTTCAGATTCCAAGTGAGCAGTCAACTAGGTCACAGCAGATCCACATTCTCCAAATCTCCACTCCGTATGTTTCAATGCTGCAAGCAGACAGTTCTAGATAGAAGCGACCACCAAGGACTGCACATACCGTCCTGCTTGACCTGAGGTCGAGGCAGGGGGCACTAAGGTCTCAGCTTCCATGCACATCATACTGGATTTTCCAAACACAAAGAAAATGACTCCAAAAGATGAAGTAGAAGATTTTATTGCAGAGAGACAAAAAAACCAGAGCTGACCTCTCTCAAATTTAGACCAACTTTTATACGTTAAGAGCAGCTAGGTATGATGTGGTCCTGGGAAGTTAACTTTTTTGAAATACGTTAAAGGAAGGAAGGAAGATGCAATATTCCTAAAAGCAAGCAGCTGTGCAAAAAGATTTAGGTGTAAAACTTCCAGAGAAGGTTTTCATCCATGCTGTGGCTATTTCCTTCCTGCCAGGGAAGAAGTGCAGAGTTAATTTCATTCTTACGAGCAGTCCCACCTCACAACCATCAGACAGATACTCAGTCTTCATGTTTGTCTTCTTTCCCACTCAAGCAACATTAAATTAGCTTCTTATTTGTTTATATCAGACTTTTTTTCCTTTGAACTTCTGAGCTATCTGACAGATGTTAATGGAAAGTATAATCTTAAGAGAATTTTTGAGCAGTACTGAGATGGATTAGCAAGTGTCCACATCGCCACAATTCAAGGTAGCAAGTCCTCATATCTGAAGAGTGCAAAATACCAAACTGTAGAGACTGATTACTGTCTAGAGCGTACGTCTCATCTGCTTTACAAAGTGATGGCAAAGGGGGTTAAGAAGAATAGCCCCAATTATGCTGGTGTGTCCTGTGATTCTAGCAGACAGAACAGATGTCTTCTTCTCATTCCGGTCTGTTTGAGATGGCACCCTCATACCAAAAGATGGCTGGAACTCCCCAAGACTTACTGGAGATTTCATCATCTTGAATCTTTCAGGATCCTACTTTTTTTTTCTTTTCAGTTGTTTTGCCAGAAAAATTTCTTTTCCGTGATGATTAGTTTCTGGGAAAATCCCAAGTCCTTGTTGCCGAGGAATGGCACGTTGCCTTCACCTTCACTGAGGCGTTCAGTGCACTGTGTGAAACTCTTGTGGGAAGTCTACTGCAGCTCTTCAGCATGGTTTAGCATCTTAGTCTCCCGACACACATAATCTCACACACAGAAAATGGATCTGTCCTTTTTTTTTTTCTAATGCACATTTTGTACAGTCTTGCTGATCTGATATGACCAGGGCTATGGATACATTTACTTGTACTTAAGTGGCCTAGTCAACTTTCTGATCTTACATCCTTCTGTTTTGCTTTCTGGAGAAACTATGCATCTACAAACCACCGAGATATAATCTATCTGATTAATATGCATGTAATTTCAGTAGTACTTATGTTGATAGCATGTCCTTCAACCACAGTGCAATCACTCCTGATAATGATGACCTGGAAAACCCAATACTCATGTTTTTATTCTGGAACTTGATATGATCCTAGTAATCAGTTGTGGCTCCTCTTTGTCAACCACTATTTACTCTGAATTCTTGACAGCAACCAAATCCAAGGCAATCCAGTTGGGACTAGTTACTTCCCTCACTGTGTACAGCACAGATTTACCATTTATCATTTAAGTTGCTGAAACTTCCTTCAGAAGGACCTTCTTAGTCACCAATAACAATTCAGCCTTCCCAGAGATAAAGCCAGCAGTCACAGATCTGTCCCTGAGAAGCAACTTTTTCCCAACTACCAAAGACAAATGAGATAAGTCAGACATTTTGCTGTCATATGATATATTCCATTTGAAATCCAGTGTTCCCCTAGGACTGTGCAAGAATGCTTAGTGATGAAGCACACAAAAATTTACTGGTTCACACTACATGATATGGTGTGGTTTACTATCTAGAGTTAATTTATACAGGAAGCTGGTGGCACAGACAGTCCCGCAGAACAGGCGATGCAGCAGGAGATCCTGAGACCTGACATCTCCATCACTAAAGAAGAGTCATGCTCCTGGTGAGATACCTCTTTCCTCATTTGCCCTCTATTACCACTACACACACACGTGAGAACATGTGTGCTAAAGCTGTCGCTGTTTAACACAAAGTTGCATTCGTGACAGTACAGTCCTAGAAGGAAAGATTTAGAACAGAATTCTGTTCTACAATAGGAAATAAAAAGTTGTACATTTATAAATGATTATACTGTACTTACTACACACGTCACTTGCTTTTATAGGTGACAGAACCAAAGTAATTTCTTCTTAATTGGAAGAATGCTTCTTTTAGAACAAAAGTCTCAATTTGATTTCCATACCCTCTCCCAGCAGTTTTCTTCTTGCCCTGCCTACACAAGCTGTGGATACGTACCGCATGGCTCTCAGTGCAGTTTTGTATGCCAATTCAGCATCATGAGGTAGGAGAGAGGTGAAGAGATACTTGGCAAATGTGTGCATTGGAACGCTCTCTCGATGGATGACTTCACCCAAACCACTATATGGTCCAGCTGTGTGAAAGAGAGAGAATGACAATCTTTACAGAGTGTTAATTCCCCCTCAAAACTTCTAGATCTTTAAAAACACTGTCTATCTCTTGGATTTGTAATTGGTACTAAGAGACAGAGACTGCTGTACAAGAGTTAAAGCTATATTGGTATTTTGGGGGAAATGCTTACATATATTACATGCTGTATATTCTATGAGATAAGGAAACAGGCTGCAAACTGCACAGTAGCAGCGCACAACTGGTGCAAGTACAAATGACTGAATGGTTCTAGTGCTCCGTGGGGTTTGTTCAACAGGTTTATGGCATGCACAAGTGGAAGGTGATAATCCCTGCTTTGCCCCTGCACAGTTTTATTGTGTGCATAAATCCCTGTGTACTGTCCAGTGGTACATGAATAGTTGATCACAGATCTGCCAGAATGTGTTTACACTGGAAAAACACAGATCTTCGGTAGTAATTATGTAACCAATCACTACTGCAGCACCTAATTCCTATTAATTTAATCTGATATTAGGCATTTAAATAATTCTGTGGCTTTGTCCCCAGAGAAGAGTGGGTCAGATCTTGCACTGAAGCCAGTTTTGTTGGTCTCTCACAGGCACATTGTCTTGAATTTATATTTGCTCTTGAGAAAACCCATTGTATCCCCATGGTTGGGGCTACCGATTTTGCTCGCAGTCAGTGCACTACTACAGCTTCCTAATAGTAATTCCAGGACTAGCAAAGGATGAGATGATTTTTAAAAGAAGTAAAACCAGCTATTGCCTTATTGAATTCTGAGCTTCATGATGCCTATGAATCCCATTTTCATATTTTTCCTGAAACCTTAAGGCTGTTGTTTCTGTTAATAGGAGAATTGTGTCATGAAGGTTTTTTTTATGTCAACAGTTAGAGGTTGAGGCATTACATGTTGCAAGATAGAGGATAAGAATCTTAAGCTAAGCATTACAGAATAATTATTGCACAGATAGCAGTCAGGAGCTACAAAATTTACTACAGGAAGAGAATTTCCTCTTCTCACAGGGACCTTTTGAACAGGCTGCAGTGGGCATTCAAACTGATGTGCACAACCCTGCACTGAGGCAGATGGGGAGAACTGAGCTCCATCAGCCTCTCCTGCTGCACAGGTCAGGGAGCTTCATGAGAGCCAGTAACAACCTAGACCAGCACAGCAGCTTCAGCAATTCTTCCTGGTGCCTTAGCACATAAAGGTAAAAAGCACCAAGCATGAAAAAATCTCAACTCTGCAGGTGGATGTGTCTGAAGACTGGGGCAGATTACAAAAGAAATGTCACTGAAGATTTTCAAGTCTCATATAGTCATTGGAAATGAAGTCCAAAGCCATTCAAAACCATCTTGCATGGCTCAGTGAAGGAAGCCTTCCCATGCATGTGTGCCAATTGGTGGTCCAGTCAAGAGAGGTAAGTTAGGACCTGAGCATTGCATGACAAAGCATCTATATGGAAAGATGTGCCATCATTAACGTAGCAGTCAGGCAAAAACTAAAACAGAGCAGTTCTTGCAATACAGTCTATCTTCAGATGGTAGCTACACACAGTAGGCATTAATCTATATTAACAGTCTAGAAATCAGCTTAATATTGGATTACGCCCTCTTTATTACATCTACAGGTCTTTAACGATAAAAATACAATTGATATGATTAGGATCTTAAATCGCTGCATAGTTTTTCCTCCATGAGAGCTGGCAGTTTCTGTCTAAGCTGGAGCAAACCGAAGCTACTGCAGGAAAGTCACATTTCCTAGCACACAGTCAAGCAATACTTGAACCCCTGTCCCCTGTTTCTCACTACAGCAATTTCCTAGGCAGTTACTTCAGCAGGCTCCCCGCTACGATCACTCGTTCACTACTCTTGGCAATCATGAAAACAGTATCAGTGATCAAAACAGTGAACTGGACGTATCAGGGAACACTTGAGATAAACCTTGCTCTTCCCCTGTGAAACAGCCTTGTCAGTAAATAAATGCAGCAGATCAATTCAGTAAACTGTAGGATACGGTGGCTGGTAATAGCTGAATCCAGAGAGTAGCTGCCCTTGTCCAAAAGCCATGGAACTGCAGCAGACCTGCACCACAACGGGAGCTCTCAGCCTGCTGCAGCTTCTCCACAGACGGCACCGTCAGCAGGTACCAAAGTCTTTAAGGACCTGAGCAATAATAGACTGAAAGCTGAGAGGCCTAACCAACATACTGCATCATTTATAATAAAAAAGAAGTCTTAAAAGGCATATTTCTTACAGAAGGCAATCAAAAACTCTCTGACCTGTATAACTGTTCATAACTAGCTAGAGCACCAGTGCATTCTCTCTTGAGCAAGCAATCAAAAATTTGGACTATGCCTTGGACTATCTGACTATCTGACTGCTTTAAGTATTTGCTTCTATTTAAAAAGAAAAAAAAAAAAAAAAACAGAGAGAGAGAGAACAAAAAAAAAAGAGAACCTCAGAACCCTCTGAAAATAGGATTCAAGTACCACATATTAAGACCTTTTTAAAGCTAAGGTAAAATAAGCATTTTTTCCACTCCTTTTACAGCAGTCCATTATGATGATTCCAAAACATGAATTGTTTGCCTTGACCAAAATTTAGTCACCAAGTCAGGATGTAAACCTCAATATTTTACCACGTATTGAAATTTTTATGTATGACACGCATTTTTTGAGTCCTACCAAAAAAAAAATGCTGTTTTTGCTCCCATCAGTTGTAAATTTAGTTGAGATAAAAATCTTCATCTTTTACAAAGTTGCCAGTCCTTTTCCAGACTAAAAATGAATGAATAATTTTGCTACATGAGAATTATTGATGACAATCAAATGGCTTTATTATCTAACTGTGGGCCTGGGTTGTATAATTAGGACACTGAGTTCATAACAAGCAGCAAATCTAAAGAAAAAAATACGACAAAAATTAAGGGCCTTTAGTAAATGCTTTATCTCTACAGTCATGTGATATCTGAAATGTATTGACTGGGATGGAAATTTTGCTGGAAAAACAACTTATTCGGAAGTCATCTTCCAGAGGAAGACAGTTTAAATTGAAAATTTAAATTGAAAATTTTGAAATTGTAATTGAAGACAGTTTAAAGAAGCAGTTAGCATCTATATTGAGCTACCTTCTAATAGGAAGACTGCTTGTTTTCGAAAAATCTTCACCAGAGTATCATCCAATTCAATTTCCTGTAGCTTAGAAATGAGCTGCTCCTCATTTCGACAAACCTTCTCTTGTGCATACAAGCCATCTGGCATTATTCGTTGCTGTCCCAGCCCTATCAGTGCTACTTCCACAGCCAGCGTTAAATAAGATTCCCCTTCTTCTAAGAACTTATGTGCAGGCAGGTGCTGGTACTCCAGAGATTTGCATTGCCCCATGTTCTCTGTAAAGGGTGACACAAAAAGAAAAACACATTAAAAATGCCTCTAATCCATAATCTGTCTATAATCCCACATTTACAAATGCTTTCTTTGTCAGTATTTTTTATAATTAACTATATAAATCCGAAAATCCAATGATCCAATGTAAACTGCCCAATTCAATTCTACAAGGAAGAAACATGCAAAATAAGAATAAAAAAAAAAATCACACAGAATCACGGAATGGTTGAGGTTGGAGGGGACCTGTAGAAATCATCTAGTCCAACTCTCCTGCTCAAGCAGGGACACCAAAATAAAAGCTTTCATAATTAAGGTGCATCATTTAGAAAAAGGCAGTTTTCTTAGCTCTGTGTTAATGAGGCCAAATTTAGAAAATCCATTTTTTTTTTCTCTCCACTCATTTTTGTATGTACTTAAGGCTTCGATGTGTCATAAAGTGGACAGGGATGGTTGCTCATACATCTGCACAGATTTCCTCTGAAGTTATTAGGATTGCACAGATACAATAGGCCTTGGAATTCCATGACCTTTAAGTGCATCAGAGCTCTGTTAAGTGGGGTTTTTGTTTTTTTTTTAATGTTACAGGTATATTTACGATAAACATATTTGTTTCTTAATGTTATTTACAATAAAAATCCTTTAATAAAGATTACTTGCAAATTGCATACAGATCAAGACATAAATTATTTTAAGGAGTATTGTCGCTTCAGTTGACATTTTACAGATCTACCACATGACAAAACTTTATTCCAACTCTAGCAGTTTACAGTCTAATTTGGGAACAAAAGAGTTATTACAGACAGATGGAAGGAAATGGGCACGTGCAGCAAATGAAAAGACATCCTGCACTTGCTAGCTTGTGTGTGCAGAGGGAGGTTACTTTTCAACATACACTATTTTATTTTCATGCGTTTTTTCCTAATTGCAAGCAATCTGATTTCTGATACTTTACTTAAAAGCTCTTCCAAAAGTGGTGCAGATGAAAAGCAGAAGCTTAGTGAAGAAAATCTAACTGAAGGGAACCTAACTGAATAAAATGAAATCGGAAGCAAAGCCTAAAGAGTGGGATACTCATTTAGAAGAGCTGTAGGGAGACGGCTGAATCCCATTTCTGTCCACACAGAATGCAATGAAACTACTGCAGGGATGGAAAGAGAGATGGAGGATAATGTATGAATCAGGTAGGCTCCTGGGAGGCAAACAGAGATATTAAAATGGGCATACACATCCTAAATCATGTTCTAATTCTGAAGCACTCCCAATTCATATTCTTTTAACGACCAAATAGATCATCAACTTTAAATATTTTCTGTAATTTCTAAGAAAGGTAACAGAGTAATGCACGTGGCAAGAGTGGCTGCTACGAGGTTTATTTGGTTTTATTTCAAGTGTGAAATAGAGAATTGTTCAAGAATGAATTACTGGTGATTTCTGAAGTGTTTTCATGCATTTTAAAACAAAAATCTACTTCAAACACTTTCTGTCCTTCATGCTTCCTTAGGGAGTGAGCTTTGAGTTCCTAAACTGCAAAAACACTGTTTTCAAAGCTGATTTTGAATGGAGAAGTAAGAAGGCCTTGGTTACTCGACAGCTACAGGTGCCCTGGGCACAGCCTTACCCGCGAGGTCTGCGAACCCGTGGAAGCTCTCGTCGTCCACCCGGCAGGCTTCCATGAGGCTGCTGAAGAGGGTGCCGATCGGGTCCAGGGGGTGTCCCACCCAGCCTTCGAGGTTCGTTATTGAGGTTACTCCTTTGTGCAGGAGTTCTGTATTTGGGAAAAGAAAGGAGGGGGCGTGAGGAGAGAGTGAATTTCAGCCATTCAGAACAATATAAAAGTCAAACTTATTAACATGCTTCAGTACAACATCCCAAGTATTCTCAGTAGCATCTGCTTCAAAGGAGAAAACAATATGTTTTAGGTTAAATACCTTGCCTTTTGTGATTATGTTAAAAAACGAATGAAGGCCAGACATCATTTAAGCATTATCAAAGTCCACTATGGGTCAAAAATTCCAACTGTAAAGTCATCTTTTACGAGATGCTATTAAGATTTCTGAAAATGTCTGCTAAAAAAATCTATTTTATATTTATGTACAACTCCTCCACTATCTCCTCACTCAAAAGTTACAGTACCATTTATACATTTGCAGTGAATCGGATGGCCCTGAGAGAAAAAAATAAAAATACTTTAAAATATGTTCTATTTCCATAAATAACATACAAGCTTATCTTGAATTTAAGTATTTATTGAGGCAATAAATTCAGAATGACAGCTCCTTTACAAAAAAAGATAAGAAGTTTAAATTAGGTATACAAGAATTTGCCCTTTAAATTGATCAAATGCATTTTTGACAATCTGAAATTTCAGTCAAAAACCCCCTCCCAAAATACGTGGTTTTGTAGCCTTCACCAATCACTGAGAACATAAAAAAGTTACAGTTCAGCTTCATGAATTGAAGGAAGTATGACGGTGGTAACAGAAGTAAGAGGTCTCCCAAATCCTTTTACTACGAGCACCCTTTTGACTGTAACTTCCCTTTAATTCCAATTTTTGTTTCCCCTATTCACTATGGAATTATGACAGAGCAGATGCATTAAGGACAACCATTTAGAAACCATGGACAAGCCCTTATGGATGTCACGTTTCTCTACCTACCACAGGCTAACATGTATCTGCCTCTGCTCTCTTATTCATCTTGCTGATGTTTAATACTACAAAGTTTTAAGACACTAGAAAGTCTGCTTCAACTCTATTTAAATGGGTGGCTGTTGAACTGAGAGTTGATGGGGGGTTCTCTTTTTTGTGTGTTATTGAGAATCAATTGATATGGAATAAGAAAAACAAACAAGTGAATCATCATCTTACTAATAAGTAGCATGTGGTAAAGCTTACAGGCAGAAGCAAGTAATATTAATACAAAGAATTAATCACACTGCCTTGTTACTAACTCCCTTATAGTCTGTTTCATCTATTGTGCTGGCTCATGAGCTTCACTTGTGTCATGCCAAAGGCAGGCTTCAGTCCCCCAGTCACACGTACACGTTTGGTTTCAAATAGTCCAAGTGGTTCCATGGACATCAAATTAGCCACACAAGTAAAAGCCAAGTAGAAGTATGTGGTTCTGGTTTAGGTTCAGCATGAACTGAAACCTAAAGCCAGGCTGCAATGATCTGTGGAGATCATCTGCTTTGCGATGACCAACACACTTCTAAAAGAATATTGAAAAATTCCAAAAATGAGAGAGGAAAAAAAAGCAGAAAAAAAAAGCAGACTGACAACATAAAAAATAACAAACCTTTTTGTTTCAAGGTAGGTTGGACGACGCATTTTACACACTCCATTTTTATTTGCAATATGGGAACATGATTTGATAGTTATGGAAATTGTTCATACGGAAAAGGAATTTAACACAACTACTAAATGCCCAGATGCTGGGCAGTTACTGGGACAGGCTGCGAGAGGAGCAGCCCTGTCACTGGGACACTTCCCGTGGACACCAGCAGCCCCTCACACGCGTGAGCGGCGCCTGCCCGCGGGTGCCTGTGTGTGTGCACAGGCTGAGCAGACACACACACACACACACACACACACACAGCCTCCTTCCCCGGGACCCCACACTGATCAGCTCCAAAGGGGCAGAGCTGACAGGTGCTAAGGGAGGACACGTTGTGTGACGAAGTCATACGGAAAAGTCCTCACAACTGCTTTTAAGTTTTGCTTAAATCTGGGAAACACAGTAAAGCACAATATTTCTACCTGCACTTTGGGTGCTGGCAAACAAAAACTGAAGCGTAGAGGAACTGCCAGCTACTTTCTATTTCATCAGGTGCCTACCTTGTCTTCACTCATACTTCCAGGTGTCTTTTTCCTATGTAAGTACCTGCACTTGCTTTTAAAAAAATTACACACATGATGCACACTGTACAAGGATATTCAAAGTTAAGAGTAGCAACCAGAAGCGAAAATAAAATTAAACATGTTCTTACAATAGTTGAGAACCTTTCTCAGTCTTTCTCCACCTCTTTCTCAAAACCCTTCTCAACCTTTCTCCAACTCTTTCTCCCTCTGCTATCTCAAATTTACAACAAAGCTCAACGTGGGATTATTTTGGACAGGAAGGGCCACATGGCATAGAAACGATATCCAAAGGAAGAACACAGGGGATTGTATAAAACAACAGTCGTTCCAAATCTCCTTTTCAGTGGCATCAATCCAAACTATTCAGAAGCAGTAAAATTCTTAATATCGTAAGAGACTCTTTTGGAACAAACTGCCAAATTTGATGCATTTCTGTGCAAAGTAGCACAGACTTTGCCTCGGTACCACCCTGTCAGCCTATGCTTCCATTTCAGAAACACACAGCTCAGCTGTATTACGATGAGGAGGCAAAAAATGACTTAAAATACCTGACACACTCAATACAAGGCTCCATTTAACAGCTTACAAATTACACAGAGGCATATTTACACTGTGTAACAAAATACCCTGATTGGGATAAAGGTCTAATCACGCTGGATGTACTACAAGCAGCAGAACACCGTCCTCGCCCCGGAGAGCTCACACACAACCCGACAACCAGAAAGTTACGTCACCACCACGACTGTTTGCAAAGAAGTGTTCGAATCAACTCTTTTCCTTTCGTTTCCAAACCAGTTTTCCCATGCCAAGGTCTGCTCGAGCGTCCGGACGCGTGCGCCGTGCTCTGCCTGCGCCTCCCGCTCGCATTTACCTTTCTTCTGCGCCCGGAACATTTCCAGCTGTTTCTGCTGCTGCCTCCTTAGCGTGTTCACAATAGCTATTGCGAGCCTCAGTGCTTCTCTTGGGTATCCATGGGATCGTAATGCATCCACCCTCGCGCAGGCTGTAGGAACATGTTCTAAAATGGAAGAAATAATTGGGGAATAGTAAGGCTTCCATGTCTGCAGTAGCCTGTTTTGCTGGGTTACTCAAAAGGGCTTTTTTTAGGTTTTTTTTTGTTGTTGTTGTTGTTTTTAAAACTATGCAAAAGAGACTTAAAAGACTACTTCTGAAGCAGCAGTTGAAGGGATCCTCTGTTCTTTTTGCCAGGCTTTTCATTCATCTCACCACCATCCCCCCCAAAATAATACCATAGAAACAGAACAAAGCAGCAAGTCATGGAAACGTCTTTCCGGTTTCGCCACTTACCATGCCAGAGGGGCCACCCGTGAGAGTCAAAGAGCGAGTTTTCTGCGTTGTCATGGTAACAGTAGTTGGTGTACAGGTCGCTGCTGATGATGTGCTGCAAGTGGCTGTCCTGCCAGTGCAGATCGCACGCCTCGATGGCTCGAGTGAACACCGTCCGGTGCGGCCTGTTCGATGAATCTGCCGTTGGCACAAGTTCAGAAAGCTGCATCAGCGCTTGCTCATTCACACGGGAACAAGGCAGTCACGGTATCCCTGCGGCCTGCCCGTCCGCCACCCCCAGCCCGGGGTGGCCGGCCCGGCCCCGCGCCTCGCTGCAAGGCGCAGGCCGCGGGTGACATTTCGCACCCCATGGCAGAGCGGAGCGGGCGCAGGCCGCGCCAGCCGCTCCGCAAGACGTGGCTACGACACAGCAAGGCTGGCACTAAATGGGACCTTGCAGAGGGAATGGCTAAAGATGGAGGGCATTCAACAGCGTGTATGGAATGCCCCTAAACATAAACTAGGAGGGGTAGGGCACACAGCAGTGTAAACTCCCAACCTCTCTCCTTCTCCCACAGCTGCTGGAATGAGGGATGGACAAACATCACTCAAGGGACTTCTACTTGCTCTCTTTGAAAGGTGACATCAACTTTTGTATCACCATGCGTATAATTTTGCATCATAAACATATGTAATACTGTGAAGAAAAGGATGCTCTGAAGCCATGGAGCTAGTGTAGTGCCCATTGGACATACTCCTATGGCAAAAGGAGTGTCTTGACACGGCCCTGTCCACGAGTGTTGGGACCTCATGTCGGAGCTGCTGTTAGGCTGCCCACTTTGGGCAGACCAGCAAGAGATCCAGGCAGACAAGCACCTCTGCAGGGAGATACTTGCTGAAGGAACTCTGTCCCCAACTAGCTCTGAGGCTTAAAAAGGAACTAAATCTAACTATGCCCTTCCACAGTAATTTTCCAAGAAAAACAAAACAATGAAAAACCCTTGTAAGCCCAAATTCACCATATAAAACAAGCATTTAATTTTTAACTTTATCATAATTGTATGAAATATGTACCAAAATATTATTGCTATAAGAAGTTTTTTTTCCTCCTAGTTAAATACGCTGCTTCTTGCCCAGCTAGCAAAGCAGCAGCTGTTGCTTGAAGAGTTGTGGGCAGGGCTTCTGTCAGATTTGGTAACTGCATTTTAGACTGGAAAGAGCCTGATATTGAGTAAAAAGAGACATCTCCTCCTCCACGAAGGCCGGGTGCTGCCTCCGCATGCACCACACTCACCTGGCAGTGCAGGCTGCAAACCACAGGCTGCAGCCCACAAACAGCTGCTTCGGTTTCTCGCATACCCAATTTAATTCAGTTGCACAAGATTTCTCTTTAAATAAGTGTCAAAGGCTTTGTGACTGCAAACAATGACAACCCCGACACCGGATGGGATATAAGATTGTAGCTCAAGCAAAGAAACAACAGGCTTTTAAATGACATACTTGAAGGACATCTGATATTCATGCAACAAATATTTAGAAAGACTAATGCAAAGTTAGAAGACCTAACTAAGCACAAATAGTTGCTGTGAAAACACTGCAGCCCCAGCACAAAAAATCTATTTATTCTTTCTGCAAGGGCAGTATTAGTGAAAATAAATTGACACTTGGCTGGTCAATCTTCAATGAGAAAGTTACTCATCCCAGGAAAGTGCGTTGAATTCTGCAAGGCTAGAGTACATAAGATAGAGGTTACAGTATACGTTGCAGTCAGTGCATATGTTTAGGCTCACCTTGGTTAGCATTTGCACCCTGAGGCAAAGCATTGGTTAAATTGGGCAGCTCGTTTCCATGGTTTCCATCTTCCCAGGGACAAACATCCACACTGTTCCATTTTTTCAGCTGTTTTAGCCAACTGGCCTTCTGCTCCAACTTGCAGTGAGGATTTAAGACTATACACATCCACAGAGCACCTGATTTTAAAAAAATTGCTAAATTATGTTTTCTATTAAAAAATGCAGCAGCCAATGACTAATTTCAAACTTCTACGCTAATATGTTTTCTTCCCTCAAAAGCTACACTGTTTGCTTCCCCAGATAAACCTGAGAGCAGACAGACTGAATTCCTGACTCTGAATGGTGGAGACAATGTGGTAGCCAGTTGGAAGACTGTACCAAGCCAAAGTTCTTAACCAAAAGGCATCCAGTAGGTCTTCGCAGTGTGTGGCTCATCAGAGAGGAATATCAGTCAACAGTAAACAAGAACTTGCACATAGTTAGAGCAGGAAATTACCCTAGCTTTTCTTCCAGCTCTGCACCCAAAGTAAATGTTGTTTTCTAAGAGAAAGAACTAAGTATTTCCCAGCTTTGCATTACAGACCCCAAATAACTGCATTAGTAAAACATGTATTTTGTACATATACATGCTCAAAATCCCACAGCAACACTGCTCATCATATAATACATCTTCAATCACATCTGGGTTCCACCGTTTCTGTGAGGTCTAACAGACATTTTTACTGCAATTACTTCAATAATTTGGTTACACTGGAAAATTTGTTTTACATTTTCTCTTTACCGAGCTCTAAGGGAAAGCTAATTTGTGCTGACATTTCACACATACCATCACTTTAGAAACCTGCTCCCTGACACTGCATAACAGGGCAAGCATAAATACATCAGGGTCTCTAGCAACAATTTTCAAATGGAAAGATTTTTCTCTAAATCAGCTGTCTCTTGATCGGCGTGAACTTTGACAGAAGCAAGAAGACATCTCAAAGTGCTATTTAGCAACAGTTCATTTGCTCATTAAGAATGTACTTTATACACTACAAGAGATTTAGAGAATATGCCTAAAATATGCAATCTTCATGACAAGCTAAATAAAATAAAATGAGAATGCAGCTGGTTCATACAAGACAGTAAAATTCTCCCATTCAAATATCGTTTTGCTCAGTAAGAATGTGAAGCGGATACCCCCAGCCCAGGCCATCACATTGCACTCATTCCTTGAGTACCTCGGCGTGTCGGCATGCCACAGCACCGGAGCCAGGGGAAACTGAGCCTGATCCTTAAGGTTAGAAGTCTCCAGATACTCAGTGTGACATAAAATGAGGAAGCAGCACCAAAGAAATCTGAAAACCGCCTCAACATAAGTCACGTGGAATACCAGAGAGGGACACTGCACTATCCCAGGTTCAGTGTTTCCGGATGGAAGTGAAGGAAAAGTGGAGTATTTCAAACACAGAAGGATTTCAGACTGTTTGAGCAAGGCAGCGCACGCTCTCCTGATCACACAGTGCCTCCTCTTTCACTTCCTGGCCTCTCGCAGAGGCCACGGGCTTCCCTTGCTGTCTCCAGCAGGCCCACTGAAAGGGCAGCAAGGGGAAGAGACACCCCAACACATCCCAACCCTGTGAGCACTGTTTTCCTTTCCATAGGAAAGCTCCGTCGAGGATGAGCATGCTACTAGCGGCTACTGTCTCAGAAACCCCGGCTATTTTGATATAATTGAAGCACGGGGACAAATCTATTTCTAACAAACCTCATGCCAACCACTTAGGAGCTCAATAGAGGCCAACCACCTCCTGCTCCTGGTGCCTCCAGTGGCAACGGGCTCCAGGAGGCCCTTATGGAGCTTCGTGGGCTCCCCATTCCCACAGGAAGGGCAGGCCAGGCAAAACTCCCGGTCTAGGAGAGAGGGGAACAGAAAGAGCCCGGGGCTTCGCTCCATAGCGCTCCAAAGGCAGCCATCTGGGAGGAGAAGCTTGATGCCAGTGACTCCACACTCCTCGGCCTCTTTGGGTTGCTGTTCTGTGTTTTTTCCCCTTTCTTTTTATGTGTATTCATCTGTATTCATATTTCTTGCCTCCTGCTCCCCGAGCGTCTCTCCTCAGCCCTGACATCTGCTCCATTCTGGCTCTTTCAATTCACTGGTTCCTGTCCTGCTTCTAGCACTGAAAAGTCTGAGGAAAATGCTCACTTGTGCCCAGATTTTGCCACATGCCAACTGGAAGGAGCCTGGAGGATATCTTTCTATTTAACTCCGATGCTGGAAGCCCCCTTGAGCTGTCCCTTAAATGTCACCACTGACCTGAAGGCTTTCACTGGCCTCAGACCAGAGATTCTCTTTCTGCCTAATGGCTCCTATACGGGGAAACTGCTGAACATGCTTATCCCTTATTACAGATAAGGGTCATGGAAAAAAACAAGGGCACCTGCTTGCAATTTATAGGGAAACACATTTAAAACAATTTCTAGGGACTTCAGCCTGTATATTGCTGATCACAAGAAACTAAATTCACAGAAGCTCCCCAAAATACATTCCTGGTATTCTCAAACAAGTTGACTTGTCTGTCTAGATTTAATGATTTCACCAAGGCCTCTCACAGTATGAGCAACCATCTCATTAAAGGAGAAAACATAGTATGAATATGTTTGTGTTTACATATTTTATTTTTAGCTCTCAGACAGTTTTCTCTCTTTCTCCTGTCTCCGCTTCCCTGCAGGCATCAGAGATCCTTTCATAGCAGAACCCAAGAAGATGGAAACACTCCCCCCCACACAACTAAATACTACCAAAACAAAAGCAACGTTTTCATTTGGATCCTTTGAGCGTGACCCAGTACCAGCCCTTCACAGCAGAGCAGCAAAATATCACCAACCCATGTGCAAAATTTTTTTACTCACGAGGTAATTGGAAGATAAGTCACGCTGCCACTGCAATTTGATATTAATTTCACAAGGGAATGAATATTAAAACTGCCACATTGCAGTGAGGAATTGCCTATTTTGGTTCAACAATAATCCTCTTGACCTAGGAAAAGCCAGCTCTGCCAAAACAGGCCTTTGGTTACAACAGCCCTCTTTTAGAAAATGCACAGCTGTAATTCATCTTCAGCTCACCTCATACCACAAAAAATAGGTTCTCTTATAGCTCTCTACAGTGTGTGCAGGCGGACATCAGTACGTTTGCATTTCTCAGCAGGCATCCATACCTCTGGATTCATGCAGCAGACAGCATGCCTTTATACTGATCAAAATTTAAACATGCAGATAGGGGTAGTAATAATTACACATTCAGGGTATGCATGTATTCATGAACCTAAAGGAAGTGCAGTGAATGTATACAGACTGTCCTTAGAGACTAAGCATTGCTCAGTTTCTATAAATCCTATTATATTTTCTTCTTGCCTCAGTAAATGTGGAGGAGAAGAAGAAGAAAAACAGTCCCAAACCACTAACTTTAACACTAGGACACTGAGCTACGTGTAGATTCAGCCTACACATCTGCTTGGTTAGAGCCCTCCCAAGAAATCTGCTCTTCCTAGAAATATCATGATACATTGTCAGGGCTGCTATGTAGTTTAGTTGGGGTCTGCATATCCTCATTTACAGCACCAGAGCAATCATGGGCTTAAACTCAGCCTTCACCTTGGAATTCTACATTTTATATACTTAAGATCAATATGTCCATTTGATTTGCAAAATTAAAGTTATAGAGGCACCTCTACTTCGATATTTCTTTGCTCTTCCCATTAATCCAACTCTGCTATTTACAAAATAAAATCCCATAAACCACCAAATTTGTAGCGTGCTACCCATTCAAAGAAGATGGAGCCAGGTAATGAAGATCATTCCCTTTGTGCAGCAGACAAATCAGCTTTAGTGCTGCTGCACACTTGCCACCGTGCCCCATTTGAGCCTAATCAATTGTATTACAAAAGCATCGTTTTACAGCATTGGAAGTGCCAGAATAGAAACAACAACAGGAGATGGAAACTATGACCCCTTTAAAACAGAAGTGTCAGCAAAGGATTTTAAAGTGCTTTACATCTGTTATTTAAATGCAGCCTCACTTTCATTGGGACAGCCACTCGGAAGCCTCAAAGAAGGCAGTCTATGATATTTATTGCTTCTCAAGAAGAAGGACAAGTGCCTTCAGAATGACTGGCAAAACCACCTCCCTCCTCCAGGCACCACGAGATCTCCATTAGAACAAAGCATAATCAGAAGTCCCCCTGGAGAACGTGCCAATTAAACAGTTGCTTTTATGGAACAGGGAAGATAGGCAAAGCACTTCAGTGCTGTTCTCTCCTCGATAAGAACCCCAAGGAAAAGTACTCTCGGTATTCAGTTGGATCTAGGTTGCAATTTTATTCATAAAAACAATTCCTTAATGCACTCTGGTTTCTCTATGCAGCCTTAAGAAGAAAAAAAAAAAGAAAGAAAGGGGAAAAAAAAGGCCTGCTATGGGTGCTGTGTTTCTTGGAGAACAGAATGTTTCATTTTGCTCTAATTCATTCTATTACTGAATTAAACTTTGATGTATTGGTCTTGACAAGTGCTTCATGCTGATTGTATTGTGTATGATAGTATAATCACTCCCCATGCATTTCACACTAGCTGGCTGATTAATGCAATAGATTACCTGCAGCTCTGATGGCAAGAGGGAATCATTGCCCTTCTGCACAGTGAACTCTGAGTGTGCGTTAGAGGGAGCGTAGGTGTAACACAGGGACAAAAAGAATGAGTTTCTTAAGCTTCCCCTTCTCTCTCCATGCATATCTCTGCTCCAAGGGCTAAGGGCATACGTGGCTTCTGCTGAAAGGAAAGGGGTATTTGCATCCTGAGCTTTTGCTTTAAGCTGTTATCAACTGCATGCTCTGAACTACATGAATCGGGTACCAAAAACTACAGCTTGACTTTTCCCATATTGCCACCTTTTAGCACAATGGAAACAGCGACTAACCAAGTACTTCTGCCATTCTGCGTGTGTCCTTTATTCCAGGTTAAGCCCATCTTATTTGGCTTTACAAAGTGCTGGACCTTCACACACCCTCACTGCCATTTGACCACAGGCACAGAAACAGACTCCCAAGGTACAATCTCCAGCATCATCCCCAGGGACTACCGGGGCTCCTCAGGAGCACCAAGGGCTCTGTCACAAGCCCATCAGTTGCCCCTCTCCCTCA